CCTGAGCGGGGCAAACACACGTTGGGCTTGACACGCCCTGAGGATCACCGATCCTTGCACCGTGCAGGCACGAGGCACGCCACCGAACGACTGAGGACGTACTCCTGCGCTCTCTGAAACACTGTGATCACAGCGCCACGCCCGACAATGACGGGCATGAGAGGTAGCAACACATACCGGCCCATGAGAGTATTGGAAGCCGACTGCAAGCAAAGGGCAATAAGAAACATCTGAGAGGAGGAGGAGGACGAAGGGGAAGAGGAGGGATGATGAGGACAGGGGAGAGGGGAGGGAAACTCACCGTAAAGAAATATTTAGGAAACCATTGGGAGATAGAAATGAATACATATATAAGAGGGGGAGAGAGAGAGAGAGAGAACAAAAAAACAGCAAAACAAAAAAACAATACACAAAACGACATATGATAATAAATTAAGGGAGAGAGAGGGATAGAAAGAGAGAGCGAGAGAGAAAGCATGAGAGAGAGGAGGGGGCACGTTCATCAGAGGAGAGCGATGAGGATGAGGATGAGGAGGGGGAGGGGGGAGAAGAGGGACTGTTCGTTTCCAGTCCATCTGCCGCGCCGACAACGAAGCCCTGACAGCATGCGGGCAGAAAACATGGCATCTCAGCCGAACTGTCACAATACGTCTTGCCCCTGATGCACCACACGCTGGTGCAGCTTGCAGTCAACAATATGTTTCAATAGGTGCGCTGGGGACACCATGAGAAGATGGGCGAACATGAGCGCTAGATGCGATGTGTGATCAATGTGGCTGCGGATTGCTGCCGCTGTGCTTTGGCTGCTGGGCGCGTTCGAAAGCGTTGTACCACCTGGCCTCTAAAACATTCGCTACATGTTGGGCAGGTGATCAGCTGCACTTGACATGTATAATGGCGTGCTTTCTTAGTCGGCCGCCATGATGAGATATTTTCGAACGAACACGCGCTGCAGTGCTCAACATAAACATGGCGACAGCACGACTCCTCCCAGCAGGCCTGGATAGCAATCCGCAGCGAGAAACCTATCCACCACGGAGGCCCGATCCAGAGCCCCACACGACGTGCAGTGGAATATTTGTTCAACTCCTATGTTCAAGGTATGTGGTATAGAGGATGGAGGCGATGCGAATTACCGCGTCGAGCCATCCTGAGCTCCTTGACATCTTCTGGAAGCGACACCGCATCAACGCGCGCGCAATCTAATTACATAATTACCCTTTCCATTAGATGCCCGCAAATGGCGGCAGCCATGATTTGGGAACGTCTGTTACTGCTCGACCGCCTTCTGGCACTTCCCTTGACAGTCCTGTTATCCACCACCTCTACAATAAGCTGGAGGGGGAGAGCGCCCTCCTCCTCCTCCTCCTCCTCCTCCTCGTCCTCTTCCTTCTCGTCCTCCACATCCTTCCCCCCTCCAACTTGTGGTGGTGGTGGAAAACAGGCCCATCATCCCTGGCCGCAAGACGGACCGACCGCCAATCCTCCGCAACCCAGCCGCGAGAGACCAGCGCGACCGGTGGAGCTGGACGCGCCGCGTGCGCAGCGGACCCTCCCTGCGCCGTGGGCAGAGGGAGGACCCGAGCGGAGAGGCGCGGCCGCGGGAGGACGGGGAGCGCAGTGCCAGGGCGGGGCAGCACGGCTGGCCACGGCCTGGAAGCAGAACTGGCTGCCCACCAGACCACCCCAGCCCGACCCGAAGGCCCGAACCTCGGGTTGGGGCGGGTGCGGGTTCCATACGTGTTTTTGTCAATGTTCCCCGAACCCCCCCTCGGAAATGGAGGGCACATGGAGGCCTTCGGGTTGGGTTGGGGTGGCTTGGTCGATGGTGAAAAACACGACGACCGTTCAAGGACAACAGTCGAGGACTGTCCAGACCGCAGCGCCAGGGTCGCGCGCGAATCGAACAGAAAATGCGGGACGGATGCCCCGCAACGCCGCGTGGATGATCCATGTGTAGAACGCGCGTCCCCGTACGCTACTCACGTGACCACGCCGGGGGGCGATGCTTCCAGGGTTGAACACAAGCAATACATACACGGACGAGCACTTCTCTAAAGTTCCTCCTGGCAAGGCACGCTGACGACCACATCTGACAAGCCCCGTAGCCGACCGCAGCATGACGGTCAGCCTCGAGGAATCGCAGCCCCTCACACAAAGGAGACAGCTCCCTACCAATAATCCCACCCTCAGCGCTGACTAATGTCGCAATGATGGCTGGCAGGCCCGTCTCCTTGCAAACGGCTGGGGGATCAGCGGTGGAGCAGCGACGGGAAAATTGGCCAGCGAGTGGATTAGGCAAAGCACTGGCATACCTACTGCACCAGAAACACGTAATACATAATCAAATTGAGGGTTAGGGAACGGGGTGCGCATCAATTTCTGTCACAGGTCCTCCCACCGTGGCAAATGGATATGGATTCACCGTGGAACCTCAAGGGGCGTCTACCTGCGAAAACAACATTGCATACATGATTACCAACTTCTCCTGCCGTGGCAC